TTCATGTCAAGAGCGCTAAAGCTTAGTTTTTGTGGCACGCATTTTAGTTAAAGATAAGTATATCAAATTGTTGATAAAAATGCCCCAGTAAACTCTTCAAATGTTCACGGACGTTTTCCATCATTTTATACTTTGAATAGGTACAGGAAAAAATGGTGGAAGCATATGCTAATTTTTTTAAATATCATCTTCAAAAATTTTCATTTGTATGTGCTTCATCATTTAAACACAGAATCAATAATAATTATATGTTATTTCCATTTTCAATTTAGTTTTACGTATTTATATGATTCCAATATTCTCTATAATGACGAAAAAAAAATTCATCTCTAGGATTCAAACCGGCGATGCTAACAATTCAAAGCAGATACTTTAACTTCTCGGCTAACGTGCTTACATCACTGTATAAATGTCAAAAGTTATATTTAAGTTGCCGAGAGGGGCTGGTGATGAAGTTTATGGTTATAGTATTTGGGGTTTGAGTCTCTTGATAGCTGGCTCATCATTTATGTCAACTCAAATCATATCGTAATCATAATTAAGCACAGTTTTGAAGCAAAATTTTATATACGTTGTTGCATGTTAGTTGAAAGAGAACGGTAGATAAAATCAACCTGCTACGCAGTACGAATGGCGCTCCGTAGAGGGGTCTGACGCTAGTTAGTGTTAGCTATTCCGATGAACGTTGTCTGGCGATCTTCGCCGGTGGAAACGTCCCAGATTTCTGTTGGTCGACCGTATCAGTTGGGTCCTCTTCTCCTTTACTTCCTGATAATGGTAAACCCGTTTTTCAAAATTTTTAGGGGCACTTTTGATCATCTAATCTAACTAGGCTCTTTCGGAAATTTGTAAATATTTGACCGTTCTACGTTAATATCATGGAAACTATCTTTGCTCGCTACGATAATATTTTCTTCTTCATCATTCGGTACAAACAACAATATTTTTTTGATTATCATTTTGTTCAATAAGCGGATTTACATTTTTAATCGATTTGATTATTTTCATTACATTCGTTATGATCAACAAATATTTTGATACGAGAATTTTCCTTATTTTTACCGTCAATTCTTTGATTTACAATGTTATGCACATCATTAAAAATTATATCTCTATCTAATTCAACTTTGTAATTCTCTGTAAACAAAATGTTGTAATCTTTTACGCATTTACCGTGTTACGTCGAGGACGAGTCAGACTATTTTATAGCGGTAAAATTTTAATTTTTTATGAAAGGGGAGTTCCCGTAATTAAAAGTAATAGTCATTTAATAGCTGACTTTAATCTCAGTGACGCACTTATCCCTTCTGGGATTAACCCTTTATTGATTAGTTTTTATGTATTTTGTGCTATAAAAGAGGACGCAAAACAATTGTAACAGACACTCTGTATTCGACTCTGTGACACTACGCACCCTCTGTAATTTGATCAATAAATATCATAAATCTATTTCTATAATAACTTATTTGAGAGTTATACCTAATCTACGTTACATCTCTGGCTTCTGAGGTACGAGTTTCTGGACCAGATAAACTGCAGGTAAATTATTTAATTATTACTTTCTCACTCGGTACTTTAGATACGTTGCCGCCCTGCTTTCGTTTGAGTCTCGCACCCGTGGTAAAGCGCTTACGCGTTGACCGAAAAGAGACAGTCGCGTTTGAGTAATTCTTGTCAATTCGCGGCCGTTACGTGAGACGTAACAACCGTATCTGACGAAAAAGCCTACTGTAGCCTTGGCATTTTATTTGAATCTTTATTGTTTTGGTATATGCACATACGTTTATACTCTAAAAACTCGACAGTATAAAAAGGCTGGTTTCCTTCGGAACCATAATAAATACGGCGGTGGTTTGTTTTCAAATTTGTTGTCCTTGAGCAGTTCAAAATATATGTGGATGTGTTAATAGCTTCTCGGCCCACAATCGCTTATCAAATTTACTTTTTAGTATAATAAAATTGTTCGTCCCGGCTCTAGAAGAGTTCGTTTTTCTTTTTTCGCTTTACTGTTTTGTTCTGACGTATAAGTTACGGTACGTTCATGTTTTATACCAAATTTCTCTGCTAATTTAGACATTTTTTTATTGATGAATTCTTAGTCCAGGAAAAATAGGATTTGAGGCGGTTTTTCATTTCGGCAAGACGATTATTTTTTGACAGGTAGTGTGAACGGCGTACATTAAGATAACAACTATCCATAGTCTGAGAAAGTTTCGGAACATTGTTAAAATGTCCATAAACTAATAAATTTTGTGACTTTTTTCGTTCTTTTCTTTATAACTTTGTTCCGTTAACATTTACAACAAAATAGTTGAATACTTTTTTGTTCGTGAATAAATTACCTACAAAACCATAGGTTGCACGTCAAAAAATATCCATCAGGTAAAAAGTTATTAACTATTAACTTTTGTATTTTGAAAATATTATAAACAATTTTTTTTAGCGTTGTTATAAACATTGTGCCACCGCTTCTCGTTGAATGGTGTCTTTTCGTTACGAGATGATGTGTACGGAATCGCGAATCTGTAAGTTTAATAGTTTACGAGTTATCGTCTTATAAACAAATTATATACTCGTTTATTTTTTGAAGCCCAATTGTTATCCACTAATGAAAAAAAAATTTACGTTATGTCTTTCAATGCCCTCTATCGATTTCCAAAATGATTTATCAAAAAAAATCAAAATTGCGACCGTGAGAGCAAAAAAACAAAAGCGACCTTAATTGCAAAATAGATTAATAACATTTTCAGTAACTTTTTTGTAATAATTATTTCGGGTTTGGATAGCAATTCAAATAAACTTCAATTTAAAACAACGATGGCACAGATCCGTTGATAAACAAAAAAGTTACAGGCCGGCAAAGTTTTTGGCTTATTGTTCAACAATTTATGTCACTAGTGGAAAAAAAATATCGTCATTGGCGGAATACCTCTAGTTTTTAGGGATGAAAATTTCAAGTCTATGGGAAAAAGGTAAACGGCTTAAAAAAATTTGGGAAAATCAGCCCTCGGCAATAATTTTCACGATCTATCGCGCGGCGGCGGAGTGGGGGAAGCCAACGAATACTCGACAGAAAAATTGAGTCTGACCCTCAAAATCAGCAGCGTAATTAAAATCGCTATTTTCTCGTTAACTATTCAACATATTTTCATTATTTTTTTTTTAATTTGATACCCCGCGACGAGAGAAATCTATTCCCGCTATACAAAATCAGTAAAAGTTATAAACAATGGCATAAAATTTATTTATAAAAAAATGTCATTTTTTTCTTCATTATTATTAACAGGAATGAACTATTATTATATAGGTAAGTAGAATCAAGTAGTTTAACATGTTAACTTACATATAAATAAATAATTAAGCTTACTTTTGTACTTGGAAAAAAAATATATGATTCATTATAATTTTTTTGTCTCCTTCGAAAAAAAAGAAAAAAAATTGATTTTACAGTAATCGAGAGTATAAATTTCTAATGTTTAATAAGCGAGCGTGTATATTTAGAATTTATAATAAGCGGACGTATACATGTCAAATTTATAATAAGCGAGCGTATACTACACCGAAAAAAATTGTATTGATTATTTGTAAATTATATTGATTATTTGTTCTTTCAATTAAATGTTGAAAATAAAATGTTAAAATGTTTGATTTTACTTACCTATATAATAATAGTTCATTCCTGTTAATAATAATGAAGAAAAAAAATGACATTTTTTTATAAATAAATTTTATGCCATTGTTTATAACTTTTACTGATTTTGTATAGCGGGAATAGATTTCTCTCGTCGCGGGGTATCAAATTAAAAAAAAAATAATGAAAATATGTTGAATAGTTAACGAGAAAATAGCGATTTTAATTGCGCTGCTGATTTTGAGGGTCAGACTCAATTTTTCTGTCGAGTATTCGTTGGCTTCCCCCACTCCGCCGCCGCGCGATAGATCGTGAAAATTATTGCCGAGGGCTGATTTTCCCAAATTTTTTTAAGCCGTTTACCTTTTTCCCATAGACTTGAAATTTTCATCCCTAAAAACTAGAGGTATTCCGCCAATGACGATATTTTTTTTTTCCACTAGTGACATAAATTGTTGAACAATAAGCTAAAAACTTTGCCGGCCTGTAACTTTTTTGTTTATCAACGGATCTGTGCCATCGTTGTTTTAAATTGAAGTTTATTTGAATTGCTATCCAAACCCGAAATAATTATTACAAAAAAGTTACTGAAAATGTTATTAATCTATTTTGCAATCAAGGTCGCTTTTGTTTTTTTGCTCTCACGGTCGCAATTTTGATTTTTTTTGATAAATCATTTTGGAAATCGATAGAGGGCATTGAAAGACATAACGTAAATTTTTTTTTCATTAGTGGATAACAATTGGGCTTCAAAAAATAAACGAGTATATAATTTGTTTATAAGACGATAACTCGTAAACTATTAAACTTACAGATTCGCGATTCCGTACACATCATCTCGTAACGAAAAGACACCATTCAACGAGAAGCGGTGGCACAATGTTTATAACAACGCTAAAAAAAATTGTTTATAATATTTTCAAAATACAAAAGTTAATAGTTAACCCCTTAGCCTACACGATATCTACCAATTGCGCGAGCTATAATACGCAAGAAATTCGTTCGCGCGCCGTGTTTACCACGAGTGAGACTCGTTGTTTTCGCTTATGGCACAAATTCTTTACCACGAGTCAGACTCGTGGCTATAGGCTAAAGGGTTAATAACTTTTTACCTGATGGATATTTTTTGACGTGCAACCTATGGTTTTGTAGGTAATTTATTCACGAACAAAAAAGTATTCAACTATTTTGTTGTAAATGTTAACGGAACAAAGTTATAAAGAAAAGAACGAAAAAAGTCACAAAATTTATTAGTTTATGGACATTTTAACAATGTTCCGAAACTTTCTCAGACTATGGATAGTTGTTATCTTAATTTACGCCGTTCACACTACCTGTCAAAAAATAATCGTCTTGCCGAAATGAAAAACCGCGAAACGGCCTTTTTCGGCCTATTTTTCCTGGACTATCTAAGCCATTATTAGTTCTTAAAATATGAACATTTTTATTCGTTTAAACGTACCTGTATTATATATATATATATAATTTTAGCAACCTCCGCAGTACCGCATTCGAAAAAAAATCGCGTGCGTGTGTGCGTGTGTTTGTATATATATACGGTTAAACTAGAAGCTATTTTTATAAATTGTTTTGAGCAATCGGTAAAATATAAAATATTACGATAACCCTTTTAATTAATATGAATTGCATACCTTTCAGCCATCGCTCCACTGACGATGGTTGTCGATGTTGTAGCAAAACTTAGTTGGAATACAAATGCAGCACATACAGGTCCAAATATTTCGTCATTTATTTCAGGATCAGTTAAATAAGCACCAATACCAATAATCGGATTCGTCGGCCGTCTATCACCAAAACTCATTCCAAATCCAAACAACCAATAGGTCAACCCTCCAAGAACAATATCCACAACATTTTTCATCATGATATTTACTTCGTTTTTCAATGATACACAGCCAGACTCTAGCATTCCAAATCCTATTAATACATAGTTCTACTGTTATAAAGTAACATCTATTTAATTTCATTAACAAATAATGACTACAGCAACCTGTTTGCATGGTAAAAATTATAAAAGCATTGGAAACGATCCAACTGCTATCTTCTTTGTTGAGCTTGTATAGAGATACAATATAAACAGCGCTATCGTTATTAATATTTGCGTTATTACATAAATCCATTTTAAATTCCAATAATAATATTACATTGCTCTGGATAATAAACTACATTTTCTAAGACTTAAAGCAATCTGACAGTTAATCAATGGAAATGTCGTTGAAAAAGAAAACAAATCAATTATTAAATACATTATGAGTACTTTAGCAATCTATTATTTATCTAACATGCAACATGACTATAAAAGAAATTAGTACTTTTGTGCTTTTTGAATTTTTTAGTTACCTATAGCCAGTGTTATACAGAAATTTTTTATGTAATTTTCGATGTATTTCTATAATATTTTGAGTTCAATAACCAATTATGACAAAAAATTACTTATTTTTAATTTAAATTAGACTCTGACATACCTATTTTGAATAAACAGACTAGTAGATACCTATATAAATGTTTTACAAAATAAAAGTTATTAATTGCTATAATATAAAAAACGAACCTATTCAACAAATGTTTAGATAACATAGATAAATTAATAATTACACTCAATAGTTAAAAATTGATAAACTACCATTAATACATTTCAAAAAGTTTAATTACAATAACTTGTTGATAAATGCTCAATATATCATTACTGAAGAACCTTGTTCAATAATCATTATTTATAAAATTAATTTTTCACCCATGAAATAGCTAATTCATGTGCTTGTGATCATCAGTGAAAGTAAGATAAGAAACAAAAATTTATTGTGTCAAGAACAATCTACATAATTTTATTTTATAATACTATCATCTCTATGTAGTATAGATGATAAAACTATATTTATTCTGTCAAATATGTGTCACTTTCTGGAATATTAATATCCATAAACATTCTCATCACTGTAAGCAATATAAAGAAAAAAATCTTCTTCATGATGCTCCTACAAAAAATAACAAATTTATACAAAAAGGATGAAATTAATTTATTTATGAACTATGTAAGTCAGAAAAGTTATATAATAATATTCCAAGAACAGAAATTATATAATACTAATCTAAAATTAAATAAAACAAATAAATACTTTAGCAAAGAAGGAAACTCAAAATATATATTACATATTATATATTATATATGTGTGTGTGTACATATATATATGTATATGTATATAAACTATTTGAGTATTCAAGTTAATTTTTTATTAACATTATTTAATAAGATATAACTTTCAAAAGCTAAAATCATCTGGCTTAAAGAGTAATGTAAAATTACCTGATAAAGTGAACCCATTGTGGCACTAGTTGGAGGAATAATATTGTTCACAAAAAAAAAGAGTGCATCTTCTGCACGAAGATGAATTCGCTTACGAATCAAAAAATAAAATTGACCCACAGTAAGATCTGACGGTACAAGATATTTTTGTTTATCCAAATCGCTAATTTTGGCTTTAGGTGCTTTTTCAACAATCACCTGAAAATTTGATAAACTCTAATTAGTTTTCATTAATTTAATTTACTTATTGTAATTTTAAATTTCTTATACATATATTTAGTTTCCTATGTAGCTTATTTTTAATAAGTTCTATTCAAATTAATTGTTTCCTATTTCAATTAAGATTTTTTTAATTATTTCAATTACAAACATAAATAATAACCACAACAACAATAACAATAATAATAAGCTTGAAAAATATAATATCGGTTTTCTCTTTCTCTTTCTATCTTGTCTTTTTATTATATGATCATTAGCTTGGACTACACTTACAGGTACTCGATCTGGATATTTTCTTCGAATTTTTTCGCCTTCGGCCTTCCTTTTTTCGAAAGGATGCTCTTCCTTGTAATGAAACTTCATGATTACAAAAGGAGCACGTAATCTCTTGTTATATCGCTTACTCTCAGCAGCTGTTTAACTGTTTGTATTATTTCAAATGAAATAGACTATCCCTATTAATGATGCAATTGTTTATTCATTTATTCTTATTCATTTTGGATATACACTACCTGTCGCTATGATCCACTTTTTAAGAAATTATTAATATTAATTGACATAAATGACGTGCAATAATTTTAAAAATTGTTCATGAGTTGCTCCGTTTTACAAATAAGTTCTTTTTTTCATACAAATTATTCAAAAAACTCATGAATAATGTTAACATCTATTATTACTTTATTGCAACAATATTGTGACAATGAATAAATATTTATTTTATTTATTTAACGTCGTCAACAGAATTGTCTATCGATGAGAGGGCGAGGCTAATCATCGTCTCGATTTGCTGCTTGATTATTAGATACTGCTGCGCATGCGTTTTGCAAAGCTGAAAATGTACCAAAAAATATAAATCAAAAAAAGGTTTAAAGAAGATTAATCATCTCCCACGATATTTATTAATTTTATAAGATTTTGACGAATCTTGAATAAAAAAACATTGAAATATCCATCTTTGCGTTAGTATCATAAACTTATGAAGTAAGCGCTATAAATAGGAAGTTATCGTGCTACGAAAAGTTGTTATTATACATGTCGGTATACGGAAAAAGTTGTATTTCCTAAACAAAATTAACAATAATTTCATGAGTTTTTATAAGTTTTCAATAAAAAACTAATAAGTAATAGATTATTTACTAAAGATTAGAGTAAGAAAGAAAGAAAGGGAGTTAAGCGCTAAAAAGAAATAGAAGATAGACTTTGAAACAACACTTATTTTATTTATTATAAACAATCAAATTAGCTGATATTTACTACGCATGCGTAATATATTATAGTTCTAAAAACCTGTCATATGTGTATATTTATTGAATAAATTGCAACATATTTATCGTTTAAGTATCATAATTTTATTATGATATATTTGTAATTTGTTATTATCAATAATAACTTTTTATTTGAATCATTTATAATATGTAAAAACTAATAATATATGTATTATGTCTCTTGGCTTAAAGTTTACACAAACATTGTCATTATGGCAAAATTAAAATATTAATAATTTACTAATCAATACAACCAATATCACATTTTCTTATATAATGTATAGAATGACATGAAAACATTAAAATTTTTTTTTATTATTAAATTAAAAATTGACTGATTAATCTTCTTGTTATTAGTAACACATGGTTAACCGTTTACACTTTCAGTTAATAAAATAGTCAAACCTTCAATACTGTTCGCACAGACTTTTTCGAAAATTGTTCATCAATGCCAGTTTTGACAATTTTGCTTTTCATATTTGTTGAACAATTAATATCTTTCAAAGTATTTTTCAATTCACTTTCTTTTTTGGTTTTTTCTTTCATCGCATTTTTGACGGTAATAAGAGTCTTATAATCTCGTGTATAATTAACAATGCTTGGCATATCATTGAACAAACCTGTTATATACTTACTAACCATCATTACATAATGAAAAGCATTGTGCGCAGACAATATCTTTCTTATTTATATAATCTTTGATCAGTGTCAATGAGTTAAACTTAATCTTGTTTTCTCGTCTCTGGAGTAATAATGTTTTCTGTAGTAATATAGTGTCTAAAAAAATAACGATAAAGAAAAAAGTATGAGAATGAGTCAATAAGTCCTTAGAAAATCCAAGCGCTCAAAGCATCCCAACTTATGTTGCACCAGCAAGCCTGACTAAATAGAGTACTGCCGAAGTTTCAGCCAGATCTATCAAGTAGTTCCGTTTTTATCGAACAACTTTTGTTTCTTGTTAACAATGGAAAAAAGTTAGTTCCGAACGGTGATAAAACATTTTTATTTAAAAGTTTTACACCGAAAGAAATCAAAGCTGAGTTAGATGCAGTTCATGGTGTATCTACCCCTGTATTTACAACTGTTTACAATTGGGTAAATGAATTTAAATGTGGCCGTACATCGACTGCAGATGAACATCGTTCAGGCCATCCTGTAGACGTGAGCACTCCAGAAATGATCAATAAAATCCACGATATGGTTTTGAGTGACCGAAGAATAAAATTGCCCGAAATAGTTAAGACCATAAGGGTTCCAAAAGGTAGAGTCATTTCGTTTTTGCATGAGAAATTAAACATGAGAAAAATTTTGGCAATATGGGTGCCGCGTTTGCTCTCAGTCGACAACAGACGCAGTCGAGTGGTAGCCGTTAAGGCCCTCTTCCGCATTGATTCATAACTGTAGAAGAAACATGGATACACCACTACAATCCTGAGACGAAGGAACAGTCAAAACAGTGGATTGTGAAAGGTCAACCAGCTCCAAAGAAGGCGAAGACAGTGAAATCGGCCGACAAGGTTATGGCCACTGTTTTCTGAGATGCACGTGGAATTATCTTAGTTGACAATTTAGAAAAAGGACAAACAATCACCGGTGTTGCGTTGCAAACATAAAAACAAGGCTAAAAATTATATTGCGCTTATGAGCGCTCAAAGGCGAAAGAGTGTGTATGGGTGTGTGTCGGTCGTGCGACTATGAATTGAGTGGCACCACTTTGCCAAACACGAACGCCATCTAAGGGTGATTCAGTTCATTTCTTTCTACGGATAGGCGGGAAAATTCAGTCGTCGACGAATGATTGTCGCGTGCGGAACTCCTACGTATATCTTTGTGTAATACCAACCGTCGTTCTCGCGTTAGTGCGATTTCGCCTGATAAGCGAATGTCATCTACCGATTCGTCTGCGAATCTCTTTCCCGTCCACGACGGTTATAATTCCGGCTAGTTTGGAAGGTGCGTTATTGCGCAATTAATACTATAGTTAAAATTCTACTGAGGAGAAAATAGGCTCGGATGCTTTTGTCTCATCTGTATCGGCAGCGTGGTCAACGTGCTAAGCTTCATTGTTGTGCGAGTGGAACATTGAAGTGTAATTGTAGTGTTAAGCTTTGTATTTCAATAAAAAAGGGTATTATATGCCGGTTGACTTTTTCCTTTACGCGTTGTGTTTTCATTCGTTCCTCCTTTCAATAAAATACTAATTATTAATTTCCAATATTAATCAGCGCTAAATACAGCCGATGGTATTTAGATGCAGCATAAACATTGTTGCCTTCTGTGAGGTCTGAGATCCTCACGCTTTCTCGTTTCGCGACACCGATCTTCGAAAGCACAAGTTGTGGCTTGCGCAGGGAAGAAAGTGTGACAGCGCTAACTTCATCATCTGTGCACGTGCTCCCAAGGCTAAAACAATTAAGCAGAACATGTGCGTTAGAGACATTAGTGTCCAGTACCGAACGAGAAAAATCCAAGGACTGAACGAGAGGAAGCCATTCTCCGAAACAAAGGCTTTTGACGCGAATTCAAGGAACTTAAATCCGTTGCGCAGAGGCGCGCACATCAGTCAGCAGTGACAGCGATTGCTAGCTTCACCTGCGTTGAATAACCGAAACTAAGTACTTCAGTGCACTTCTTTATGATTGCGCTTTTTAAAATTGGTTATATCATTGGAAACGTCCTTTATGATGAAATCGGTGAAATGTCTTTATTATGCGTTTCGGACGAAAAGAAACAATTAGCGTTATCTTGGTTGTAAATTCGTCAAAGAATAGATAGCTCGCTTTTCAATTTGTGGTCACGGTGCGTAATTTAACTTATGGTTTAATAGATTTGATTACTTAGTGAATCAAGTTAAGTTAGTAGTTAATTAAAATCTTTGTTGATTATTTATCACAAATCGGTAATTAAATTCTTTTTTTGACATTAGACTATTTCTCACGGAGACTAGACAAGATGTTGCAGGTAGGCAATGCCTTGGACCGCGTTGAGGTCATTGAGCAAAAGATTAGGTCCTTTAAAAATCAAGTAGATTCTCTCACTATGTACTTGTCGATAAACCCTGATCCCTTTAATGCCGAATTTCGTTTAACAGCTCTAACCAAATTATACGAAGACTTTCTTTGTTTTAACGATGAACTTACTAACTTACAACCTGACCATGACGTACTCAATGATTTCCACATAACGCAAAATGCATATTTTGACGCCGCACCAATGTGTTAAAATTAAACAAACCCCCAAAGCTAATCGCGAATTCGACCTTGAACAATAGTGACAACAATATTACTATTTTAGAAAGACATAACTTACACGAACTCCCGACTATTATACTCTCCAAGTTCAACGGAAATCATGACGAATGGCTATCATTTAAGAACAAATACGTAGCTCTCGTCCGTTCGCGTACTGATCTCAACGCTAGTTAAGTATACTCAATTAGAAAGTCTCGAAACGGGTTCCCCTTTAGGCAAGTTAACAGAATTCTACGCGAGTAATGAAAACTACGCAAAGGCATGGAAAGTCCTTTGCGACGTGTATGATCAAAGGGGTTTGACTGTCACGGAACACTTACATGAACTTCTTGATCTTCCTGTAATAGCTAAAGCTACTCCCAATAATTTGTCTGCCCTGATAGATAAAGCACGCGAACATCTTAACATGTTGGAACAGGTGAATGTTAACATGAATGAGGACATTATCGTGAGGATTTTAGAAAGGTGTATTCCTCCAGGAGTTTTATCCAGGTGGTAAGATAGGAAGGATCCTCGCAAGCTCGTCACGCTTGAGGAAATTTTTCAATTTATTCAGTCAACGGTTTTCAAACTTAGATCTTTAGGAAAAACTTCAGTAAGCAATAAAAACAACGCTAAGAGGCTTTTTGGTGAGAGAAGCGAGAGAGCTCCGCTGAGTAAGGTTCCTCGAACTAATGCTCGTTCGTTAGCTACACATCGTCCGACGCAGACTCCATTGCAAAATCTCCAGCTGTTACTTGCAGAAAGTGCAGTCAAAATCATCCTCTATTCAGGTGTCCAGATTTCAACGGTTTCAAAGTTCAAGAACGTTGGAATTTCGTGAGAAATTAGAAGCTATGCTTCAGTTATCTGTCAGCGCATCCTCTACCGTGTAAAAGTAGCAATCGGTGCAAGAAATACAGCCGTGATCATCACACCTTGTTACATTCCGAGAAGAAATCCAAAACTGAACTTAATCAAAAGGACAAAGGCTCTTCTTAAAATGTCACCGATCTCAAAGCTAATGCTTCTGCGTCGTTATGACTTACTGGGTTTTCGTTCACCTCAGTTGCTTACCCTTCAGATTCACTGTTAATGACAACTGCCTTGATTCAATTTCACAGTCAAACAGGGAATCGCTTTATGGTACGTACCCTTCTAGATCCTTGCTCTACAGTAAATCTTGTGACTCAAAAACTTGCTAATTCTTTTCATTTAATCAAACAAACTTGTAGCATAAATATCGGAGCAGTAGACAGTATGAGCACTGTCTCAAATCAATTTGTTA